CCAGAGGTACTGCGTATTGGACGCCAAACGAATGCCAAAACACTTCCCACCCCCGCTAATGGATACTTTGATTCAAAAGTCCTCTCAAGGCAGCATGCTGAGGTCTGGTCTGACCGAGCTGGAAAGATTTGGATTAGAGACGTAAAGTCATCGAATGGAACCTTTGTCAACGGTCAAAGGCTGTCTCCCGAGAACAGAGACTCTGAACCCCATGAACTGCGAGAACATGATGTCTTGGAACTCGGTATCGACATTATCAGTGAAGATCAAAAGTCAATTGTCCATCACAAGGTTTCAGCAAAGGTCGAGCATGCAGGCATCCATGGACCTAATATGAATATTTTAGACTTGAATTTTGGTGACATAGATCCCACGACGGGTGGTGGCCTCCTCCCTCATCACCTGAGCCAGCCTCTGTCTCACATGCGTGGCCGGGCTGGAAGTGCATCCTCGACTGCAAGTGCAGCAAGTGTACGCTCTGGACAAAGTCTGCCTGGAAACCATATCAACCTCCTCCACCAGCAGAGGCAGATGAACTATTGGTCTTCTCCAATTTCAATCGAACAGGTTGTGAAAAAGCTTACGGTATGTCTTTGCCCTTTTATCTTATGCTATCAAAACATTAATACTAACTTTCTACTTGACAGTGTGAGATGAAACAGGCAAAGCAGCTGAATCATGACCTTGGCCAAACCTCTGGTTTCCTCAGCACTATATCAAACCCAGAGACCTCTAACAAAGAGCGGGCCAGTCTTCTTAACAATATTGCCGAGAGCCCCGTTGGGACAAAACCACCTGCTCGGCCCAAGCTAAACAAGACGGATTCCATGTCGAGATTCTCCGACCCTCCTGCACCACCCCCACAACAACCTCTTCCCGAGAAGCCTGACGCTCCACCGCGGACGTTCTCTACCGACTCACTGCCTAAAATGTCGTTAAGAAGAAATGATACCGAAAAGGCCAAAGCCGCAACTGATATCACCCCGGCCCAGTCGAGCCAGATACTATCTTTAATTGAAGCCCTGACCACCACCAAGAAAGAATTGGACCTGCAGGCTAGCAAAGTCAAGCAGCTTGAGAATATGCTGCGTCGTGAGCAGAGTGCTCGTGAGAGTGCTGAGGAACGTGCTCGAAAATTAGAGAGCCAGCCACCCAGCCAGGTTTTGCTTTCCAATGGTACTCATCCTGGGCCAGACGAGCAAGTAGACGTGGACTTGGGGGTGGCTGAAGAAGAAAGCAAGGCTCCGGACGATTCCACCACCACAGAATCCCCAGAGAAAAAAGACTTCAAGCCGATCGCCAACGCCGAGAGCGAGGAAGTGTCTCCCCCTATAGTACCAGAGCCCTCATCCGACGAACTGAAGCGCCGCATTGACACGCTGCTGGCTGAGATGGAAGCCGCGAAGAAGCAAATGAACCATTACAGGGAATCTGCTGAGCGGGCGGAAAAGGAGGCTGCCGAGAGTCGCCAGACCCTCGCAGAAATGATTGAGAAGATCCGACAGGAGAAGGCTCAAGAGAGCGCTACTGCTGCTGCCTCTGCCTCCAAGGGCTCGCCGCGGTCCAGAGGTGTCTTGGAAGCCGAGGTTGAGACCGCCACCGCCGCTCCTCCGGGTGAGGAATCAGCATCCGGCTCATCCACCACCAACATCGACAAGGTCATCGAGAATTGTCGCTCCATCGACCCGGAGGAAATAAGGGAGCTCAAATCTGCGGCAGCGGCTTTCGCAAAGCCGCAGCGGCAGGACTCAGTGTTGCTTGAACGGTCTGCACCCTATGCCTCTATGCTTGGTGTTGTTTTGATCGGAGTCGGGATAATGGCGTACCTAAATGGTTGGCATAAAGTCGAACGATAACCGATTCGTTATGTTGCTTGCTTTCGAATGATCATGATACCCTTCCATTTGTCACATCGTCATGTTATCGATATATTCTACGACTTATACTCTTTGTTTTATTCATTTCCAACCCTAGCGACCACAGCTTGTTGAGTCGAGCATTGCAAAAGACTATCTGGCCCATCCGTGAACTCGGCATCCTCCCCCCCGACCGACCCGTTAGACGGATGAATCGCTTTAATCATCTCTCCCCCGCCCTCTTATCCTATTTATTCTCTTCGTTTCTTTTTTTCTTCTACCTATCCTGCCAAGTGTTGTGCGCGATTCTCCTTTGTGTCTCTTAATTTAGCTCCTACCCCTGTACCTCTATACTGACTTACTTACCACTGGTTGATGCCAAGTGCTCCTGGATCAAACGCCAACGGTGTATCCGTTTAACCAGACGCATTAACGACCTTTCTTCCCACTTTTCTCGATATCCCCGGACCCTGCCTGTTACCAGGCTGGCAAATATTTTTGTTTACTGTCAACGAATTTTCTTGCCTTCATCCCTTTACTCCAACCTCAACATCACCCCCTTTTTCCTCCTGTACCTCTCTATTTATCCAACTACATTCCTTCCTTTCATCCAGTGTTCCATTTCCTTTTGATGCCTTTTCCTCTTTTGCTTACTTGCTTCTTTTCCCTTTTTTAATGCCTTTTTTTTTTTCTCATATTTTTTTGCTTGTGCTTTATTACTATGGGCATTTTTGCTGGAAACCCATCATCGAGCCCTTTTTTTTTTTTTTAACTTTTATTCTCCCCGAAATGCCTTTATTTTGGACCCTCCATTGCCCCTGAAGTTTGGTCATGGCTTGGGGGGAGGGGGAGGGCCTTAAACTAGAAGGCCTTTCCGTTGCCGTGTAATTATTGATACATGTCCAAGCGTCTCCTGTGAATATTACACCATTACACCTGTACTCATCTTATAACGAATCTCCTTTTTAATTCTTTTTAATGTTGATGGCACAGATATCTCCCTGGGCAATGCTCAAGCAAGATAGTTCTCTGTTTCCCCTGGGCGTACGGGAGCCGACAGAACTAGAACTGCCCTTTGTATTTGAGTATCAGACGCATCAGACACAGTACCAGTAGCGATGTCGCACAGCCTTGCATAATAATGATAATAATAATGATATAATAACAATAATATTAAAATAAAATGATGGGTAAGAGATACTTCCGTCCGTCCGTCCCCTCATATCCCTGACAGCTGAAAATGCCCGAACATGTAAGTAAGGGTATTAGCAGAGTGGACACCTTAGCTGGCCCTTCCAAGGCCGCTGCCAGGGGCATATTGCACTACTTGTTGCTGTTCTGAGTTCTGGGCCAGGCCGTCTTTTCCTAGATAGGAGAGGGTGCGAACCTGCAAAGCCATCGATGTGCCAGTATAAGGTAAAATCCAACTTAGAACTGCCGTATATCCGTACTCCGTATTCTTCAATTGTATTAGGTAAAAAGATCCCCTCTAGCCTCCCGCATCGTCGCTAATAGGACCCCAAGGAGAAGCAGACTCGAATGCTAGCCCGTCGGCGTAAGAGAACTAGCCAGCGAGTTAACGTTCTTGTTGACGTTGAGAGAAACGCCAACTCAACCGCGTGATGAGACCTGTAACCTTGTTAGCGATGGCACATAAAAAAAAAAAATAAAACAAAATGTATGATCCTTGCCACCTACGAAATAATCTCTGTTGATTCGCAAGACGTCAATGTTTCAGCCCTTCCGTGACCAGCCGGGAGCGCCAGCAGCCCCTTCGTCGAGTGCGGATTTTCACCGTCGTGCCGAATAGCACGTTTGTCAATCACATCACATCATCACTTCACCCCCTGGTGGATAAGCAGGCGCAGCTATAGCTAAATAACTAAGCACAGCAGCTAACTATATTATTTTAGAGGCCGTTGCAAGACCGTTTGTTCTCCTTTCCAGCGGGGTTTCCCGCACACAGGGGGGAACGGTAAAGAGATCCATGGCCGGGCGAAAATCATAAGGGATGCCAACACCCTGCAATAACACTTCAATAAGTAGATATCAAAAAGAAGACGTATCTACATTGGCAGATAGGCCAATCCGACCAGTCTCGCTAAAAGCCCAGGAATTAAAAAAGAAATAATAAAAGTAGCTAAATTCCAACCACTTGAAGCATAACCAAGGGCCGGGGAAGCTAGGGCTGATGGGCCATCACCAGCTGGATACGGGCAGCGAGAACCACGACGAGAGGACGACACAAAATTATCGCTGGGGATATCTTGTCATCTGGGCGAATTGCATACGAGAGTGGAGATGGCGTATGGGGAAGAAAAAAATATGAGAGAAGCAATAATAATAGGCTGTTCGTTTGCTGCTGCTCGGAGTTAGACATCGGCTAAGACTTTTTTGTTGGCCGTGGATTGTCGTGGTACGGAGTACTGATCAACGAAGCGGCGTAGCTGTCAAAAAAACGCAATTGCCGAGTAACTAGTTCATGCAGCGAGACAGTTAGGCATCTATTTTCCCGTTGCCCTTGCTCCCGTTCTCTGTTCTGGAAAAAGGATGTATCGCGTTATCGATGCCGTGTACCAACCTCGGCATGCCTGGCACGCACTGGGGGACGTTGATGCCCAGCCAGCCGTCCTCTCTGTCCCTTTCAAATCCAGGCCACGGCTCTGCACACGTTCAATTGCCTGGTCCCAGCCGGCCACGGACGAAAATCTCCTTCTGCCTGTGGATGCTGAAACCCGTTTGACCCTAAAAGAGACAAACCAGCCCTAGGCTAGCGTGAAGAGTCGAAGGAACCAGGGGAAACACACATCGATCCCGTAAGAAAAAAAAAACCCCACAAAACTCCGTCAAGTCGGAAAAGGGAAAACACCAGAATAAATGGAGAATTCGACATGGATGTGCCATATCGATGACTGGCTGTCTCGAAAAATTCAGCGGTGATGGACGATCTCGCTGACATCCGCATTGGCCGCATATATTGGACTTCTGTTGCGCATCCTCCCTCCCCTAACCAACCAAACCCCCTTTCACCACCAACCAGCCAACACAGGGAGGGAGCAAAAGAAAGGAAAAAAGTAAACATCAAAGAAGCTTCCGGGCTCGTTGATCCATTACCCTCCCCTTGGCATCAAAAAGGGCCTTTTTTTAGTTTTTGTTTTCTTTTTTTTCTTCTTCTTTTCTTCTGCTTCTTCCTTTTTCTTTTTCCTTTTCCTTTTCTTTTTTCTTTTCTTTTCTTTTCTTTTTTTTTTTT